AAAGATTCTGTATCTAAAAAGTTCCACATGAAACGTTTTGTTTTGGTGTGATGCACTTCACCATACTGCTTTGTATTAAAATGTCAGAATGAATATTTACAGTCAGTAGTCAGATTGTGACATTTATAACACAAGACATATTAGTACCGATGTAATTTAATTTTCTTTCCATTTTGACACAAAGTCGGCTCCATTTTAATTAGATTCCATTCCTTTTTAATCCTGGAATTCCAGTCAAATCTTTACCCAGCGGGCATATTTGTTTTATAATTTGTCTGTATCTGAAAGGCGTTCACCGAATATATATTTATTTTCTATGTTGACTCTTGTTCAGATGAGTGAATTAAATTGATTAGTCAACATCACGTTAACATGACACAGAGGGAATTATTTAATTTTCTATTCTTTTGAAACAAATAGATTCCACAAAGATTTCTTGCATTATGAAAGCAATGCCTTTGTATAATTCTGATGGTAATACAAAATGATTTTAAGCAATTGTAGTAGGAAAAGATGATTACCCAAACAGAAAAATGAGAGAAAGATATATCGGAACATGGTAGCTCAGATAAATGAACTATAAGTAAATAAAGTAACTTTAAACAAAACAAAATATGCGATGATCTGCCTGCACTGGAAGAAAAAAAATCTTGGGTATCATTTACTCAATTTGGGGGTACATTTTACCCAACAAACATGCATGTCCATGTTAACTCAATATTGGTTAAAATTTTACCCAACTGTTTTAGTGTGAAACTAAATTCTAAAATATGTCTAAATATATTTATCTCGAAAATCAGTTGTTTAGAGAGGCCCTTTTACTATTTTCCTATAACTTGGCGCAACATTTGTTGGGAGTTTGAATTTTAATTGGTGCGAGTTCTGTTCGTTCACGACTGTACTTCCATTGATATTTTTGTCATTGCTGTCACGGTGTTTACCGGCCCAGTTTTATACATAAGTGTTTCGGCTAATCATTTAGTTGACGAGTTGTCTTCCCCATACTAAAAGTCATTCTAATCTATTTTATAGATTACTTAAAATATAAAAAATCTCTTCCACATGATGTGATGATACATGACCAACAGAGTGGACCCTTACTTGATCTAAGTACCCCAGATTGATAAGGTTTTGTTCCTTGTTTCTGTCACTTGAAACTGATTTCCTAGTAGAGTCTTTGCAACATGATGCAAGATTGGTTGATTTTCCTGTAAGATTCTTCGACTCTACCACTTTGGTTTCGTTTCATTCTCATTATTTATAATTTAGAACGTTATACAGACGAGGTTTGGTATCGTGTCATCTCTACTTAAGGCTTCATTTATACTACCATGCCGGTGCATTTTGGCGGACCGCTGACATGAAAACTCCATCACCTCCTCCTCGACATGAGAGGCTGAAAAAGGGAGATGACTGTCATGGACCCATCGTGTTCTCTTTGGCCATGCACGTTTGCCGGTTTCCTGTTGATCGTGCTTTCTTGCTAAGTGTTCACTGCATTTAGCCATAGCTGTGCTAAATCTGTCCATCATGGCACAATAGTAACTGTTGATTGTAATCTGGGTAATAGCGTAGTTGATGTGAAGCACGACGTTATATTGGAGCTGGGGGTATAATAGGCAATGTGCATGTTCCTTAGTTTCCTTTAAAGCAGTTAAGAAAGAAGAAAAATGATTAATCAACATCATACACTAAATCGCCCAGTTTCATTTCAATCATTGTTGACTACTGCTTTAGGTATCAATGTTTACACTGTCAATTTAATGGTAATGGTAAAATTATAGGCTTGTCATGATAGAATAGCCCACCAAATCCCATCCCTTTTAATTAAAAAGAAAGGTCCTTATAAATGAAAAGAGACAGAAAGTGCTCACCATGAAAAAGGATTTTCTTCATCTTTATTCCGCAACTGCTACAAACGACCTTGATGATACATTCGTTTATTTTTGATTTGCATGGGGCTAGGATGGTGATGATGGTGGCTCGCTCATGCTGCTAATTCAATGTTTAAATAAAGTGATAATCAGATTAGGGATAACCAACTTGTTTTCATTTCATCACTTTAATTTTTGAAAGCTTTTGATAAATACATAAGGACAGCGCATCGTGTATACATGTATTACAGCAATAAGATTCATAATTATAATAATAATAATAATACTCGGTTTTTATATAGCGCTTATTACAATCACTAAGCGCTTCCAAACTTGGAGATTATTACCCCGGCTTTAGCTGTGCTGCAATCGGGCGATGGAAGAACTTAATTTAATTTAATTTAATTTAATTAAGGAACTTTACATAACTATCTTGATCTAAGGAGACACGAACGAACGAACGAGCTGTGTTGCCATCACGGCGCTCTAGCATTTCAAAGAATGAATTCATGCCAGGTATTTGCATAGTATATTGAATTGAATCGAATTGAATTAAATTGAATTTATTATGGGATGCCTTTCAATATATTTCATTTTATTTCGTAATTCAAATATACAGAAAATTTAAAACAATACATTTTTGTTACCAACGAAAAGAATATAACTTGCTAATATCAGGTTAGTTATGAAAGTTTTAAACTTAAAACACGTTAAATCAAAGTCTTTAATAATGTCGATATTGCCAACTACTTTTTCTAACAAATTGTCTGAATTTATTCAAACCAATTTATCATGGCCATCAATCAAGGGGGACAATGCTCACCGGTGATTAGGTTCCATCTTTGTTTTCATATAAGAACAAAGCAGCTTCTTGATGATATAATTGTACCTTCATTGCAATCGCAATCTATTTTCTTCCAGGTTCTCTCTTGCTCACTCTCTGCCTCTTTCTCTCTCTTTTTCTCTCTCTTTATCTCTCTTTCTCTCTCTCTCATTCTCTCTCTCTCTTTCTCTCTCTCTCTCTCTGCCTCTTTCTCTCTCTTTTTCTCTCTCTTTCTCTCTCTTTCTCTCTCTCTCTCTCTCTCTTCTCTCTCTCTCTCTCTCTCTCTCTCTCTCTCTCTCTCTCTCTCTCTCTCTCTCTCACTCTCTCTCTCACTCTTGCGTCTCCTTACCCTTCTCTCATCCCCTCTCTCTATTTACCTTGTTATTCCATTGTCGCCCTTGTATTGTCTAAGCTGTCCTTTGCGCCAAGCACCTGATTTGGGATTGTATTGCATTTTTTCCCCTCGTTTTTTAGAGGGAAAAATAGCTTATAATTTTCTTGTTTCCTGGGTAGGGATAAAATTTACAAGATTTTTAATCTTTAATTTTTCCCAACTCATTTTTAAACCAAGCTTTACTTGTATTTATTGTCATGATGTTTGTGTTTTTTTTTTTTTTTTTTGTATTTTTACTTGTATTATGTATTTCATGTCGTTTTAATGAGGGAATAAATTGAATTGATATCAAATTGAAATCATCCTAGTCTCAGCCTTCAGCCCGGGACACTGGTTGACCATTGGTCATCATGGTCATTGACACTGTCCAGGAAAAATTCTTGTGAGAGTAAGAAAAGGAAAAGAATGATAAAGCTGTTCAAGATTTTGTTTGGACTGATATTGATGTTTTAATTTTTCATTTCCATTTCGTATGTAGATTTTCGATGGGTATTACAGTGTAAAATGTATTACAGTGTAAAAAATAGTATTCTTTATTTCCGAATAACAGTGATCCCTAGTTTTATTAATGCATTTCTAAAGAAGTGAGAGGTGGATAAGATGGAGTTACAAGGCATGTCAAATAACCTAAACCCAATAAAGCTCTTCTGTGGGCCATGCAATAACAAACTGGAGACTGACAAACATGTCAAACTTTTGACCCCTTTTAAAAGTCAGTGCTGAGGAGAGGAACAGGGTGAAATCAAAGACAAAAGTAATATGGGTTATCTCTACCTGATATACAACTAATATTATCAGTGGAAGTAATGGTGACCATACAAACTTAACATTAATCAAAATAAGTAAAGAAATGCACTTGCTTTTGTTGGCACTCTTTTTACAATTATCCTTGATGTGTAACACTTTATGAATGGAATTAATATTTTGTACCTACCAATGTATCACAGAATGTCAACGTTATCATCGCATTAAGATTTGCATTTTAGTACCACTTTATACAAAAAGTTATATTGAAATATTTCACGCTTTTGTTAAAAATGTACTCACTATTATTGGATAATAATAGGCATTTCTATAATAGCGCCGTCTATCTAGAAATTCTATTCCGAGGCGCATTTATTATTACCCCGGCTTTAGCCAAGCTGCCATTACAGCGCTCCAGCATTTTAAAGAATTAATTCCTGATCATTGTTTATCACTGGTCCCACCTACTGTAAATGATTACAATAAGAATGATACAAGGAAACAAGAACAACACTTCCTTACGATTACCCCCATAAAGGCTCTTCTTATTAGGTGTTACTTTGTTTAAAGCCCCAAAAAGTCCCCCCCCCCCCCCCCAAACAAATCATAAAAAGAACAAATCACGATTTAAGAGCAGAATTAAGCAGGACCAAAGGAAAATGGTCAATTTAATGCAACGTAGGGCATTTTTTCGCCCTTCAGGTCAGTTTCGACCTTTAGGACACAGGACGTTTGTATAGTGATAAACAATGATCAGTCCCTCCCTCCCACTGATCTGCTCATACCCCTGGTCCCACCTACACGATAACGAAAATACCTCCATCCATCCATTTCCTCCAGTAGATTTAACAATAACTAGCACTTATAAATTTGTTATTTAGAATAGTTTTGCTTCACGGAACGCACTACGAAAAACAGCGAAACACAACAGAGGCAAAATTCTCTGTTGGCACATACTAAAATAATGATAGTTTTGGCTATCGATATTTCGAACGTACTGTTTTTCAGGCAGTTTGTTATAGATGTATGCACAAGTTTTCAACCACGTTCACGTTTTTACAACAAAATAACCCCGATAAATTAAACCAAATGAAAAAGACAACAAAACACTGTTTGTCTTTTCCTTTGATTTTAAGTAGTAACTCCCTGCAAATAGTAATCGTTGCATGAGACCTAGGCTCTAATGTGCATGTTAATTGTAGGTGTAAAAGCTACAAGGAAATCGACCCGGGCTCGCATGCGTTGTATCAGAGTCAAATTCAGGTCACGGTTCCGGAGGACAAAACTATGTAAGATCGAATCTCTTTAGAAATCAACACTAATATTCTTAAAAGCTAAAGGTCAGTGATCAGTGTACGGTGACAAATTGTTGACTTGACTGGTATGCATTATTGCCACGGTTTGTCATATGTCTAGGTATAAATGCGCCTGTAGGCTGATTCTTTCTCTACAGCGGAGAAAATAGACATGAAAAACATGGTCGCTTCGTCGCTTACTGGGATACAAGTCTTGAAAGTCCTTGTCGTGTTGACTCTTTTCATTTCTTCGCCAGAACAGGTCTCTGGAGGGAATGTGCTTATGAACGCTGTGCTGGGAGAGGGCAGTCATTTCTACTGCATGGCGGCCATCGGGGAAAGCCTGGTCCGTTGGAATCACAGCGTCACCATGCTGATCAGCAACGCTTTCGAGCACAGAGCCAAGGACGAAAAGTATTCACGCCTTTTCAACTTCGAGGTGTTCAACCACACTGTACCTGTTGAGGAAGTGCATCATCAGTTCGATGCTTTCAACAGGAGAGCCTTCTCCTCGGCCACTATGCAGCTGTTGACATTGCTGGAAATCATGAAAGATGGACGAGCGGTTGACTGTGATAACATATTGGGGGACCAGCGCTTCATGAAGCACCTCAAGGACAGTTCTTACGATATCCTGGTGTATGATGTGATTTGGTTCTGTGGTCCTTTGATCGCCAGGAGTCTTGGGATTCCGTATCTCACTTCGATTTCATTTCCGTCGCCCTGTACCTACGGCAGTACTAACCTCCGCGATGGCTCGATGAACCCATCCTACGTTCCTGAAGTATTTACAGGTTTTACAAATAGAATGACCTTTGGCCAGCGAATTTTGAATTTTTTACAGACGTTTCTTATTGAATTCGTAGCCTACGATATGATGAAGCCATATGATGTGCTCATCAAGAAACATGGCGTCACAAAGGACAATATTAAAGACGTCTTGTCGCAGAATGAGCTTTTCCTGGTAAACACAGACTTTGCTCACGAATTCCCATGTCCATTGCATCCCAAAATAAAACCTGTTGGTGGACTGACAACCCGGCCCTCAAGCCCGTTGCCTCCAGAGCTAGAGGATTTCATGGAAAGCTCAGGAGATTACGGCGTCGTCATCTGCACAACTGGGACCTATTTCACCGATGTCCCTATCAACATCGTCAAAGCGTTCTCGGAGGCATTTGCTCGACTTCCTCAAAAGGTCATCTGGCAGTTGACTGCAGAGCTTGAAGATATCCCCGACAACGTCAAGGTTCTACCTTGGGTACCACAAAACGATCTCCTAGGACATCCAAAGACCAAGGTATTGATGTACCAGGGTGGGAACAACGGGTTCTTCGAGGCCATCTACCACGCCGTACCCCTTGTCACGTTCCCAATCCATGCTGACCAGTACGATGTCGGTGCCCGTGTCGAGGCCAAAGACATTGGACGCAACATTGACAAGAGGACGATCAGCGCTGATGTCCTTCTCGAAGCCCTCCAGGATGTCATCAGCAACAACTCCTACCGAGAAGCGATGCAACGAGTTTCAGCCATCTTCCACGATAGACCTGAGCCGCCTGCAGATAGGGCTGCCTTTTGGGTTCAACACGCCATGAAATACGGTGGTCACTATATGCATTCCCCATCGTACGAAATGAATTTCATCCAACGAAATCTTATCGATGTCTACTTATTTATCGGTTCTTTTTTATTTGCAGTATGCTGGCTCCTGTATCGGGTATTGAATGCATTATTTAAGTTTTGCTTTGTTAGAACAACGCAACATACAAAGTCTGAATGAGTAATATTTTGTTCATATATAAGCACTTTTATAATTCTTTACACTATTGTGTTTTTTTAATAAATACAATAGATTTTAGGTTCAGATTTTAGTGTCATTTGTTTATTCTATTATTCTGGAGACAATTTACACAAAACGAGGATAAAAAGCAAAATTTAAGCAAAATATTATTTTCCATCAATCAATACCATGTCCAGTCAATTTATCTTGTTCATGTAGCTAGTTTTCAATTTTCAAATCCGTGTAGCCTGAAGCAGTATTATACACAGACTGTAACTTACAGAAGTTATAAAAACTATGATGTACACAACTTTAAAGATGATCTTAGTTGCTGGGCAAGACTGGCAGCACATCAATAACTATAAAGATGTTTGGCATATTTCATATTTCATTAAATGTTTGTAATAAACATGCACCAATCAAAGAGAAAAGAAGCTGCAAAGCTTATAAAAAACCTTGGATAACCTAATCAATAATGAAGTCTGTTCGAAAAAAATATAAATTGTTTTTAAAAGTACGAAAATCTAATTTTGATGTAAGTGATGTAACAAATATCGGAGCTATAGAATAACGACTGTTCTTCGCAATGCCAAGAGAAGTTGTTACAGTGGTTTGTTAGCTGAGAACAGCAATAACACTAGTATGAATTACCACTGACAAACATTCACATATAAAATCTGTTAATGACTGTATACGGAGAAAGGTCGGTTTCCTCTTTAAATTACGGCACTGTCCCTAAATATATATTGATACTGTTGTACAAAAGCTCTGATACAGCCACATATTACATATGGCATCGAGGTTTGGGGGTAGTACTTATAAATCACACTTGAATTATATATTTAATACTCAAAAGATGACTGTACGTGCTATAACTTCCAAGCCACATCGTGCTCATACTAATGCACTGTTTCATGATTTGATAAATGAACGATTACCTCATTCCTTAAACAATTACTGCAGCATGATACAACATGAATATTCCCCAAGACAAAAAACGGGTCGACAATTACGCCTTCCTTTATTCAAAACAGACCAAGGACATTTTTTGTTCCGTTTGTTGGAAGTATTTTTTGAAAATGCTTCCTACTGATCTAAGAAGTGAGAGAATGATCAAGAACCTCTTTTCGTAAAAACTTCACAAAATTACTCTTAGGTGAAAACCACTAATTCTAACCTTGTAATTATATAGTAATATAATGGCAACCAGTCTCATTTTTTAATTGTAATATTGTACACAAATCTTATTTATAAGATTTGGAACCCATTGTGTATTTTTCTATAAACTTTATTTTAGGCTTTAGATAACGAGAGTCAGACTCGACTGGCACATGTGCTATTTTTTTAACTCTATTTTTACCACTGATCACAATCTAATTGAAAACAGTCATTTATTGTTTTACTCTTGAAATTAAATTTGCTATAACTATTTTTTATTTGTATAATGTATATGTATATTAATCCATGTCATGTTTATATTTATGTTAAATTGACATTGTCATTGTACATTTATATATCTTTTGTTTCAATGTTTTCAATGGTGGTGAAAAAATAAATTCAAATAAGATTATTAAAAGTGAGTGTAAGATACAGAAAAATACGTTTGCATATTCGTCATTGGCTCTAAGGAGTAGAGAAAATCTGGAGTAAAGTTTCTGTTGAATAAATGCGTTATAAAAAGGAAGTGAAAAAACAAAGTTACAGAGAAACAGATGGAAAAGACAATTCAAGTGTCAGTTTTATATTCCATAGCAACCTGGATTGACTTTGTGTGTCAAAGGTGAAGCCTGGGTCAAGACATAGTTGCGGCTGTATTCAATAGCCAAAGAATGGCGAAGAAGACAAAGAGAGAAAAGAAAAGAGGAATAAGATGGAGAAGAAGAAGAAGAAGAAGAAGAAGAAGAAGACGGAGAAGAAAATGACGAAGAAGAAAAAGAAGAAGACGAAGAAGAAGAAGAAGAAGAAGAAGAAGAAGAAGAAGAAGAAGAAGAAAGAAAGAAAGAGCGGAGAGAGAGAGGGGGGTGAAAAAGAGACGAAGACGAAGAAGAAGAAGAAGAAGAAGAAGAAGAAGAAGAAGAAGAAGAAGAAGAAGAAAGAAAGAAAGAGCGGAGAGAGAGAGAGAGAGAGAGAGAGAGGGGGGTGAAAAAGAGGGAAAATAAAGATAGATAGAGAAAGGGTTTGAACTGCTGGGTTGGTAGATATGACGTGTTTGGTTGTTACGAGTGGCAGGGGATATGGGGCCAAGAGGACAGAGAGCTTCCCTCCCCAAGGAGTATTCTGAAGTCACGATAATTTAAGTACGTGTACTTTTGTATATAAAGGAAGGGACATTATAAACAGCACCACGGCATGTTTATTTTCCTCTTTTATTTTTTGATTCATTTAGACTGGTCACTATTATATCCGTCCTCCATTTATTACAACAAACTATTTCACTGGGGCCTACAGCTTTACAAGCTTGCTTTCATGTAGGTCCCATTATATTTCTCTCTGTTAAATCAGTACTCCATATTGACCACTTATCTTTATGTTATTTATTATGTATCATTGAAGAAAAAAAACTTGTACTTTATTTGAAATGTTTATGTAACATGAGAAATATGAAAATAAATGAAATGAAATGAAATAGAGAGAGAGACAGAGAAAGAGAGAAAGGGGGAGGGAGAGAGAGAGAGAAAGAGAGACAAAGAGAGAGACAACGAGAGACACAGAGAGATATAGAAAAGCACTGTCGGAAGGACGGTCGTAGATGTCGCACAGCAGAACTCTGCTCCTGTCTGGTGATAAGTTCCGTTGATGACGATTTGTGATTGGACGAAAGTTATTTGAGGTCAATCTTCGTGATTGGACGAAAGTTATTTCAGGTCAATCTTTGAGTGCACAGAACATAGAGCTTCTCTATAGACACAGAACGATCAGAGAACCAGTCGACTGTGACTGTCCTCGTACCATCTATGCATGCTTTGACCATGGACCTACCAGTACGAACGAGGCGTATATCCAACGAAATTCGATGGATCCGGTATGCATTGTTTGCCTTCCCCCTTTTTGAAAACCCCGTTTTGGAATAATGATTATTTTTTCAATAATAAAATTACAAACTCAAGAAACATTATAAGAAGAAAAAAAAAATTAGAACTCTCCGCCCCTCCCCTTTCTCTTTCTCTCTCTCTCTCTCTCTCTCTCTAACTCTCTATATCTTTTTCTCTTTCTTCTTCTCCTCCTAGATCTACTCATTCTTCTGCTTATTTTGCTTCATGTGTAGAATTTTAAATCATGTGACTGTACTATTTTTCAAATTTAGTTTGCAATGCAATGTATAATGATGATGTCACATAATTTTATGAATGACGTCATTGTGAGATCGAAATCGTAATAAGTCAAAGATGTGAAAAATGTTCCTGTCGCATGCCGCGCGGTTGTGATGATTCCGAATCTCTGAAACTTGTAAGTTTAGCATTATATTATATGACTGATGAATTAATTAGTTGCGAGTACATTTTCGTGATTGTAAAATTTACAGTTTATTGCTGAGATTGATTTGCAGCAAATGAACAAGATAATGTTTAAAATGACGAAGACGGTTGCCGTCACCGGCATAACAATTGTTAGCGGAACTTGGCTACATTTTCATGGGCCTCTATCGGCCTAGAATGTACGTGTAGAGTAACAGTTACTGTTAGTGCTTTATTGGTTTGGAGCGCTGCCATTATCATGTAGACCTATTACTACTAGGTCTATATCTATACAATGTAGGTCTAGATTAAGTGTTGCGAGAGAAGTGGTTAACTAAACTAAAGTATTTAGAAAAGCGAATTCTTTTTGCCTTTGGATTTATCAAAATGCATGCATCAAGAGTGTCACTAACATTAATAAACAGTAACAACCAACATGGTTCATAAACAATAATTTTCCTAGCTAGGCCCTGGGCCCTGGCTTTGCCTTGTGCTTGAGCTTTTATTGTCCAACATAGACCTTATGAGTTATGTTTTATTCTACTTAAGTTCTAGTTAAACTATATATGAAGTAGTGCACATAAACTTCTTCAGAAATTTCAATTAGATCTACCATTTTGAGTCAACTGTCTTGATAGGTGAAAACCCACAACCTTTCCAAAGACCAAACACACAACGTCTACCTACTCTAGGTATATTTAGCTCGATACTACTTAATTATAGGCTCCTGGGACACATGAGCACCTAAAATGTAAGCCCGAACCCCAAATTTGTGTACATACATGTAATGCATCCAATGGATCGGCCGAAAACTGGAGATGGTCGATTACCCCCTCCTTTACTCTAGGACTCATTTATACAGACTTTATAAACTCAAATCTGGACTCCCTTGCAAAAAAAGTTATTTGGCCTCGGCGCCCAATACTCGTAAAAAAGTTACTTGTAAAGTTAGAGCAGAGCGTGAGCTCGTCGGGTCATGACGTCAAAAGGCCACCTGCTTTGTCCCACCCCGCCATGCCGCAGTCGCAGCTAGCTCCATCTTCAGGATCTGTCAATTCAGAACTCGACTCCGATCCAGATCCTATGTCAAATTCACGCTTACTGTTGGAATCAGATGAATCTGAGTGTGGATCCTCCATCATATAAACTTAAAGAGAAGGTTGAGTTCTGGGAGAGGTGAAAACTAATTTGTGAGTGTTATCTTTGTTATTATGGAAGTGTGGATAAACATCAGATGAAAAATGTTCCCTGAAAAGCATGGCTCTTCATATGCCTTAATATTCTCAATATGGCATGTAACATCATACAAATCGGGACGGATTTTTACGCCATAATTAAGTTTGTGTAGTCCGATATACATCTTTCTGTGTACAGTGCTTGTAACTTTACCAAGACTGTGTCAACTTTCTTATCATTTTGATGATTCCAGAACCTTGTGGTACACACCAATTCTTATATGCTAGATGATCAACCTCTCCTGATCGTTTACACCACGTTTCTTTCACAATGCAATCGCATGACCAGAACTCAACTTTATCTTTAAACAAATGTCTGCAAATATTGAGAAGGAAAATAAAAATCGATAGAATATCTCTTTGTCAACGTGAATCGATGCACTCAGCGTGTACGTCTATGACAATAGAGTACCAAGCTATAATGCAATCGTCGTCTTGTGACATCATTTTTTCTTTGCGCAGACTCTAATTATAAGTTTTTTAATATTTTTTTTTTGGGGGGGGGGGGCATTCTTAAAGTAAATCTTCAGGTCCTCTTATCATTTTTAAATCATTTTCCAAGTGGAAACCGATTGTCATATTCGAAATCTCCTTGAAAATTTCTTTCCATATGTCTTAAATGCCATTTTCAGCTGATTTTCTTGTTGCCAGACCTTTAAAGATAAAGACCAGTTATGGTCATGCGATTGCATTGTGAAAGAAACATAGTGAAATCGATCAGAAAAGGTTGATCATCTAGCATAGATGTATACTGCAAGGTTCTGGAATCATCAAAATGATGAGAAATTTGGCCCAGTCTTCATAAAGTTACAAGCACTGTACACAGAAAGATGTATATGGGACCAGGCACACATGCGTTTTTATCACTCACATACCAATAGAAAAAATAATTTACCATATATATCAACATATATCAACGTCTTTCAACATTCTTTGACATCAGTCTAAGAATTTAAGTAAAAAGGTAGAAATTTGTTACCGTAGTGATAAAATCTTTGCTTACTATTCATGTGTAAACTTGATTAACTAACATGCAATTTACATGACAAAAACATTCACTTCTGAATTGGCCGGAAACGCAACTAATGCTGCGAAAAAAGCTGGTTTCACTTTGCCAACTTGATATTTACTCTACGATAATAGCAATAAGTGTTGCATGCATCTATTGAAACTAACTTATTGAAACTAAACTAATTGACTGTTATTCCAGCTTCCACTGTCTTTTCAAAGGGATACAAAATGACAATGACATAAACAAGGTGTAAATTCTTTTAAAAATGACCAGTTCATATATGAATGGGAAGATTGTGTAGTCTTTTTTTTAAGAGCAGAGTCGTGCTCAATGGTCCGTATTCCACTAAATAAGTAGTCCAGAGCCCTGTCACGATAACGGGGAAGACAATTAGACAAGGTTTCTTCTGGCTTTAAAGGCACACTGTCCTACTTGTAGCTACTTGCTCCCTCTATATAGAAAACTTCCCCAATCGGTGCTTGTTGGTCCCCCATGATCCTCTTTTTCTTATGTTAAAGGTAAAGACCAGTTATGGTCATGCGATTGCATTGTGAAAGAAACGTTGTGGAATCGATCAGAAAAGGTCGATCATCTAGCATCTAGCATCTGCAAGGTTCTGGAATCATCAAAATGATAAGAAATTTGGCCCATTCTTCGTAAAGTTACAAGCACTATACACAGAAAGATGTATATGGGACTACCCTATATCTCTCACAGACCATGAGAGAAACAAATTTACCAAATAAAATATGAATTAGTAGGCGGTTTCCCGGCAAATTTTTTATCATCATGTATTAGTCAAAACATATTCTTTCACATGATTGGTAATGAGAGCTTCCATTTCATTTTTTGAAATTGGGGCGTTTCCAATACTGGTCTTTACCTTTAAATGAGAGCGTAGTTAATGAGATAGCCGCCTGTCACAGTGACCTCGCTGGCTCGCTGGGTGGTCTAATCCCTTCTAGCTGAAGTAGTAAAGCCTGCCTTTAAGAGATAATGTTCAGCAGTGTCATCAAATTCCTGATTTTTCCAAAATACTGTTCAGGTTTCATGAACTCCCCCGTCCCTGGACGGTGTGTGCGATCACAGAGATCTATAAGTTTACACTATTATTATTATCATAAGGTCTATATAGGCACCATCATAATCTGTTGCTTATATTTTATTGGCTCCATAACATGGCCAAGTCCCACATTGGCGATAGCGAAAATCTTGTTTTTTTCAAACTTTGAAACTTGTCTATGTTTTAATGATTTTCTTCAGTCTTATCGAAAACAAGTGTCTACTCAGTACTGCAGACATAACAATGTGATATTACTTGTACATGTCTTCTCTAATTTTTTTTAATTTATCCCTACCTTATTCTTTCTTTCTTTCTTATTTTTCTTCTTTTGTTTGTTATGTGATATTTTGTTTGCATAGCATTAAAAGGAATCAAAGTAATACTGACAGTCAAATTTGCAGAAGTACATGTACATGTAGTGCAACTTTCTTTTGTTTTAAGTCTCTATAGCGCATGGACAAACAAAACTTTTTAGGGAAAAATTGTATTTAAGTTGACCTTATAAATTTCAGGTGTTTTCAGACTACCGGTATGTGGAGGAAAAGATTATTTAACAGGGAACCCCCTCAATCCAAAAGATTGGACAAGAATTTTAGAAATCTATTTACATGTACTTGGCCTTCTATTTTTCATGGAGGGCAGAAGAACAAAAGAGAGAGAGAGAGAGAGAGAGAGAATGAAAGATTATGCAATTGATAATTTTGCAGATCAAGTGAGGATCTGTTAGCTAATTATAGCAATGATGGCTTTAATAAAGCCTTGTTCATACATGACGTTGTAGACCACCTGAAATAAGGCTGTAGCAGAATAGAAATATTTCATGTGTATTAAATAGAATGGCAAGAGATAATATGGCAATACTTTACATTTAGGATTCTCAGTACCTTCCTAATTGAGAATTGGGAAACTTATATTCACATGTGGTGTGTCCGTACAGTTGATTCAAACAGTAATTTGAAGAAGTTAACATGCAATTTTTTATATTTTCCATTTTTCCATAATTCTTTTTAGATATATGAAGGACAATATCTTATGAAACACATGTACATGTAGTTAAGATTGTTTGATTATTTGATGCATATTTTTTTTTGTCAAATCCAAAGGCATAAGTGACAGCTCTATTTTTTTGAGTGTCCATGCAGACACATAACCTCCAGTCATCCTTTATATCATTAATAGTAACATACAGTTGTATACTAGATGCTTTGCTATTATTACCCTGGCATTTACCGAGGTACCCTGATAAGAAATTTCTTCCTACGGCAATGCATTTACATCACCTGGGTGGAGAGTGGCAAATGTAGATTAATGTCTTGGCAAAAGACATTCGTGCCGCAAACCATATGATCCACAGTCCAGTGATGTATTCACTAGACCATAACACCTCTACTATGCTTGTGTAATCATTATGTTGCGTTACCATTTATTTTTGCATTCGGTTGACTTTGTGATGTGTGAACAAAGCTTTATGTATGGTGTAATATTAATGCTGGTGTAATAGGGCCAGAGTCCGGTTCTCTGGTTAATTATCCAGTTTAATGATTAATGGTCAATTTAACTGATAAGACTCGAAGCAGGTGTACGCAAAACACTGTGCCGCTTCACATGATAACGCTATACAAAACTCAAAAGTTTGTTCACCTTTATACATGTATGGAATGTTCCTCAAGAAAGTTTGTTAACCTCTCATCCAAATTGTACGACACCCTTACATTGTAAATATATGCAAAGGGTCTGTTTTGGGTGATATGAAAAGTTTGTTGACCTCTTTATTATTTTCCATGAATTCTATCTGATGATTTCTGTTTTAAACATTTAGGGTGTTTTCTGCCTCTTGCAAGTAATCATTTATCTTGAAAATGTATGTTTTTCTTTCTAGATTTCATATTTACAAAACAATAACATGTGTGAAATATCCAGTCACAACATCATGCTTTGAAGCCGTATTTAAAAGCTAACTCTTCAACTTAAATATTTATCTACATTTAAATGACACAGTTTGTCTAGAAATAATTGCATAGACTTTTTCAATATTTTTGTATTCAAGGAGAGATGCTTGTGCAATGGCAAGGTGTAATAGGCCCAATTAACATTCATGATCTAATTCTTTCAAATCTCCATTTTGGAATATGAATGGGGGGAAACTGTTTCACTGGAAGTTTTCTTTCTATCTTTTCTCTATTTTGTTCATTGCCTATTTCTATATTTAGAAATAATGATATTATACCTTTAAGGGAAAAGGGGATAGTCTATCAAACAACCTATTAAATTTCCTAATTGATGTTCACTTGAGAAATACCAACATGCATACACCAATTGATGACAGAACATAAGTGTAAAGCATATTTACATGTAGCACTTATAGTATGAACCTTGTGCCATGCTTATATTTATGTAAGCTTTATCATATGATAAAATGCTGATAAATGAGTGATTAGCTGTAACAGACAGTTTTAATATATAGCTCTTTATTTTTACATTGCACAGTGTGTATCTAGAGAGAATAACATAAGGAATGATAGAAAGAGAAGATGATGGGAGGAAAAACAAAGAATAACATAAGGAAAGGTAGAAAAAGAAGAGGATAAGATAAAAACAAAGAATAACATAAGGAAAGGTAGAAAAAGAAGAGGATAAGATAAAAACAAAGAATAACATGAGGAAAGGTAGAAGAGACAAGATGATGGTAGGAAAAACAAAGAATAACATAAGGAAAGGTAGAAAAAGAAGAGGATAAGATAAAAACAAAAAATAACATAAGGAAAGATAGAAAGAGAAGATGATAGAATGGTACAGATAAAGAATAAGAAAGGGGGAGATATAAGAGGAGATGATAAAAGGGAAAACAAAGAATAAAATAAGAAATATAGAAAGAGTATATGATAGGAGAGTTAATATAAAGAATAACAAAAAGAAAGTTAAGAAGATGATAGAAGAAAAAACAGAGAATGACACAATGAAAGATTTTTGTTAAAGTGGAGTTGAAAGAGAAAGAAAAAATTACTAAGAGATATAAAAAAAAAAAGGGGGGCAGGAAAAACAAAAGGCTAGATTAAAGAAAAGATGGAAACGGTACATTAGATGAGGAAAATGAATAGAATTTTGTGAAGATCAGGCAGACAGTACCTACAAGTACAGTTCCAATCCAATCCAATCCAGGAATTTATAAAGCGCCGATATCTAGTTGCGTAATCATAGACGCTGATGAGACTGAAAAACTACCAAAAATGTCTGTTTGTGATTCTAACTGGGAAAGACAAAAAAGCAGTGACTAATTGTAAGCGATCTGAAATAGGTACATGTACATGTATGTCTTTAGTTGAGTTCTGAAAGTGGATAACTGGTGACAAGAGCAACGGTTCCGCCCGAAAATGACCTGTGCTGTCATATATCATCAGGAATGTTTCCTGTTGCAATGGCATCACAGGTCTCACTAGAGTACAAATTGCGATGAGAGCGAATGCAAATGAACCTCAAGCTATGGCCACAAATCAGAGCAGCGACCGACCGATCAGTAGCCTGCTCGGTCGCTGCTGGAATTAAGGCATCGCCCAGCGATGCCCGGGCGACGAACGCCCAGGCACCGAGCGTATTTTGGGCGGCGAGTGAAAAGTGAGCAGGCGCCGCCCAAATTTTAACTCCGCGCTAAAACTTCAGCGGCGACCGAGCGATGCCCTAAAAACGAGCGTTGCCTGGGTGACCGCCGCTCGGTGGCCGGGCAGCCGCCGGGCAGAATTGGTTAAAAACTCGCCGCTCGGCCGCCGAGCAGGCTACTCTTTGGTAATGTGACCATAGCATAACCTCTGGTACAGTCTAGTTGGTCTATTATTGCTAGACAGGTCCAAAAAATATCTCTTCATTATTTTGCAAAATGTTCATATCTAATTACATCCAGCTATCATGTTTTGACTAGCAAAGTGCTACTATAATTTATGGGCTATTCAAGTGCTGTGATTATTTTATTTACTACAGATTACCTATAGAAAGTGAAATCAAATTAACGATCTTTTATGTACAACTGTATTACAAATTACCAATAGAAAGCGGAGTAAAAGAATTGATCGTTACCCCTGTGTCATGGCTAAAAATAGTTTGCTGCACTTCAAAAAAGTTATCATCTATCACAAGAGATTGTTTGAGAAGAAATATTATTTCTCAGCTGTTCTTTTCAAAGAGATAATTGTCTAAATTCTATTGTAACAAAATGTGTGTTTTTAGATAAAAATATCAGAAAAGTTTAATTATGCAAAGCAGAAATAAAATTGTCAAAAAGTTTAAAGACGAAATGGATTTGTTTTCAAATTTCTGAAAGAGATCCTCTCCATGTATAACATTTATTAGAAACTTGACTGTTTTTCATGAGAAAAATATGTAGCTTTACTAAAAGAAAAATGAAAATTCATATTTTCCCTTTAGAAAAAGTTCAATCATACATTAGCCCTAAGTATAGTTGTTGTAAATACATTTTTATACAACCCCTCTATGAAACAAGTCATCAGTAACTATAATGAAACTATATGAAATATTCTGTACAGAGCAACTCGGAGAGGAGCTTACATGATAGGTCACATTGTTGCCAAATTTCCTATTTTTGAATGGATATTGCTCAACTTTCACTTATTTGTTTCTCTCATTTTTCTGCTTTTCTGCCCTGTCACAGCCTCATGACAGAGTTGTAGATTCGTCGCCATTAATGCTTGTTTAGATATGATGCAATAAACCTCCGCAAAAAAGTCATGTTTTTAAAACGTGTAAATGAATTTCAACTGAAAGTTATTCACATGTGTAGCTCTGTGTTAAACAGAAAATCTGAAACTGATGCTTTACTGACACTCTATTAAAAAAAAGAAAACATCACTTTTTTGCCACATCACATCTAAACAAGGAGTTAGATGCCGATCTTCATATCATTAAAATGTTCATAACTTTTTGATTAGTTGTCTAATTTTCCTCAAACCTTTTTTTTTTTCTTCTTCAGTTTCTCTGAATTTTCTGCTTTTTTATTTTAAAAGTGATTGATGTTCCCACGGTTGTCTAAAATGATGATTCCATGATTAGAATCAAGACTGCTCCCTTGTTAGTCGTTTGAGCTGATTAAGCAGTTTTCATTTTTACAGTTATCCTTTTTCCTTGAACTTTTCAGATAGATGCAAATACAATGTACTATTGATTTTGATTTTACGTAGATCCTGTAAAAGTTATTGCACATGAATGGTAATGATCACTGGTATACGTGTCATTGGGCAAATTACAGGAAGCAATCAATACAGTGGTGTATCACAACGTTGGAAGGGAAAAAAGAAAGAAAGAAAAAACTTACCAAAGGTTTGTGGGAAATTATGTACATTGGATGGCCTCCAGTTGACAGAGAGCCAACTTTTTATGACCCATGATGCAATTGTGCAAATATGCCACCAATAAGGAGACAGTGGATGAAGTCATGTGATTGTGACTGAAAAGCGGAGTGTGGTTAAAGAAAGAGGAAAGCCACAAAAGGCCGCTGGAATGTTTTTTACAGGTACTGTACTTGTTTGTATTGAGAGAAACAAGTGAGAGAAGCAAACGCACAGTGCATTCATTGTATTCCAGACTTTTTGTGATTTATTTGGAGACTGACTGTCATGCTGTAAGTTTGTTCAAGTTTTCATTTAAGTTCATGTAGTTGTTTTCTCTTCTCCATGATCATCTTCTTCTTATTCTTCTTCTTCTTCTTCTTCTTCTTAATTATTTGTCTTCTCTTCTCCTTCTCACACTTTTTTTATTTTTATTTTTTATTTTTTACTTCTTACTGTTTTTTCTTATTCTTCTTTTTCTTCTTTTTCTTCTTTTTCTTTTATATCTTCTTCTTCTCCTACTCCTACTACTTCTTCATCTTTTTCTTGATTATTTTCTTCTTCTTTTTCTGCTTTTTCTTCTCCTTCTTCTTCTCCATCTTCTTGATTTTCCTTTTCTTCTTTTTCTTCTTCCTCTTCTTCTTTTTCTTCTTCTTCTTTTTTTTTTCTTCTTCTTCTTCTTCTTCTTCTTCTTCTTCTTCTTCTTCTTCTTCTTCTTCTTCTTCTTCTTCTTCTTCTTCTTCTTCTTCTTCTTCTTCTTCTTCTTCTTCTTCTTCTTCTTCTTCTTCTTCCTCCTCCTCCTTCTAGCCTGTTAACTTTAACACCATAATTTACTTATTGAGTACATAATGTCTTTATAATGTCTCTTTCATAATGTATTTATCTTCTTGTATTGTAATTTCTTTTGGTTGTCTTTTTCATTGATCCATTCTTTCTTTTTCTTTTCCATTTCTTTCCAAATTCCTCTTTTGTTGTTTTCTGTTTTTTGGTGATTTTTTTCATTGTTTTATTCTAATTTTAATGATTCTTTTGATAGCAAATTGTCTCATTATGATTTGATTGTCATCATTCCTCACTATCCAGCTGTTACCTGGCAAAATTTAAAAGATGTAACTTATTTTTTATCTCATTCGTTGCATTTTCATCTTGTTTCCTGTTTTTTGATACACAGACAAAATGAACAACTCGAAGCAGTAACAACTTAAAACTTAATTACAAACCCACAACTAAGCATGCCTGTGAGAACTACCCCTGTGGAGAGATGCCATGAAAAACTGCTCCTGAGACATCGCACCAGCTACCCGTACCTGAATTCCGTTGCGCCATGTGGAACATTACCATAGCAAACATTATGACATCACTGAATATCTACAACCCCATAGACTATTCCTGTCCTGCTAACTGCTCCGGCCATGGGGCATGCCTAAATGGATCATGCATCTGTGTTGTAAGTTAAAAAATATATTTTTAACTCATTGACTACTGGATATTCATATATGTCCGGGGGGGGGGGGGGGGGGGGTGTTTCACAATGAATAAGATCCACTTTAAGTTGGACTTAAACTATGGCGGGCTGTTTGTTTTGGTATGATCTTTACTTTTTCCTTTAATAATGAATTATCAACAAATGTAAATTCTGTAGTTTTGTGAACACGATTTGTACACCCCTTGAGAAACCAATGCCAGTAAGTGGTGAGAGCGAACAGTGGCTTAAACGGCCTGCCATACTTAGAGAGAAGGTTGAGTTCTGGGAAGAGGAGAAAAATAATTTGTGAGCGTTATCATTGTATAATGCAAGTGTGGAAGGACATCTGATAAAACATTTTCCATGAAAAGCATGGCTCTTCAAATGCCTTAATATTCTAAATATAGCATGTAACATCATACAAATTTAGGACAGATTTTTATGCCGCATGTTCAAGTAGTCCCATATCCATCTTTCTGTGTACAGTGCTTGTACAGGTGTACAAAACCTTGTGGTACACACTAATTCTTATATGCTAGATGATCAACCTTTTCTGATCGATTCCACAACGTTTCTTTCACAATGCAATCGCATGACCAGAACTCAACTTTATCATTAAGTCCAACATAAAGTGCCGTGGCCGAGTGGTTTAAGGCGCTTGTAAACTGGAGATGCGAAGGTCAAGGATTTAAATCCCGACACGGCACATCCTTTGGCAAGATATTAACCTGCACTTGCTACTTTCCACCTACTGCAGGCGTTAAATGGGTACCCGGTAGGATGCGACCGTCATTGTTGGTCAAACAGATTTTTAAGCGTCAAGTAACGCCTGGCTGGAATGTTTCCCAGGGAATGGAGATTGTGCGGGCAAGCTAGCACCTAATCCAATGACAGGGGTAATAGTATATCTGTAAAGCACTTAGAGACATTGTATTATAAAGCGCTATATAAGACCAAATATTTTTAGTCTTTGTAAAACACTCCCAAGATGTCTAATACAGGAACAACCAAGGTTCAGTGGGCAATGGCTTAAATAGAATTTGAAAGAATAAAAATGTGTCTGATCATACTGTCACAGCTGAAATTCATCAAACCATAAGGATTTGTATCTTCTCAGCTCCCCGCCTATGGTTGCTATGGTACCTTTCCAATTTTCCTGCCCATGCATAATCGGTAAAATGCGAATGAAATTGTGTGGTGGAGGGTTAAAAGATCTCAAATCCTTTGCTTTCTCACTCACTTGTACCATGCTTTAAGTTTGGGTGGAGGAGGGGTGGGATTTAGGGCCACAAATAATAATAATACCGTCATATGTCATCATTGTTACCAAACAATTTGTTCTCCATTTCCTTGTGTCATGTTTTATTGTAATTTTGTTCTCATGTTTATTGAGGTGGGCCTCAACAAATTTGTATCAGCCAGAGAACACTTTAAATTTTGAGAGGTTGAGCAGGATATGAGAATGGCTCTTCATATATGTCTATTTTAAAAAAATGGTTAGTCCCCTTGAAGTTGCAAAATATGAATGAGAACAAATTTCTTATTCAAGATGCCCATTTTTTAAAGTTGACTTGATTAGCCAATGATTAGTTTTCTTGTAAAACTTGTCATTAATACTTTTAAATGATATACCGGTAAAACTCTCTAAGGGGCATGTTTTTCTCCTTTTTCTTTGAAATCCCTTATAGGTTCAGTTCCAGGGCGGTGAATGTGACGAGTACAACAATACCTACTTCATTGCATTTGGATCAGTATTTTATCTTCTGTGTTGCGTATCCACCATCCAATTGGTGAGTAGCTTCCAGACGAAAAACACATTTTTTTATTTGGCCTTACAAAACGGCGAATTTGAAGTGTTCATACCTTCATACTTCATACTGTTCATAGTGATTGCAAACAATTCATAACTTTCTGATTTTTGTGTCCGATTTCACTAAAACTTTCACCATAACGCTTCTGATTTTGGTGCTTTCTTCTAGATTTGTTTTTGCTATTAAGGTTGGATTCCTCTTTAAGGGTTTTCATTAACTTTCCCTAATATTGAAAGGAAGGGGTCTAAAGTTTTCATGACAAGCTTGTAAAATATGCTTCCAATATTCAGTAAAGGTTTGAGATAGAGCAGGGGGGTGTTTCATAAAGAGTTCGTAAAGTTATGCATGACTTTACGAACGACTTGTATATGAAGTGCCAGAGAGGATGGCCAAAGTTTTTTCTGATATTTCCAATAACCTCAATTAAATTTTGGCAATAAATATACTTTGCATTAAAAATGTTTGTTATAATAAGAATGTTAATCTACATCTGCACATTTCAACTTAATAAATAATAATCAAGAATGATTGAGCATCCCATTTGGCTTTTCATATACAAGTCGTTCGTAAAGTCATGCGTTACTTTACGAACAGCTTTATGAAACACCCCCCTGGTGACTTAACACATCAATCATTTATTAAGTTTGTTTGTGGTTAGGGAAGTAGGCCTATAGATAACTAAAGGAGGATTCTATGATATCTATGATAGCAAGTCAAGTCCATATCTTTAGGGTAACTTGCCAAGTGTATTTAAAGCAAACATGGAGACTCATTGGAAGAAACTTTGTTTGCAGACAGATAGATATTTACTGTTGTGGTCTTTTTATGTTGTAAAAAAATAGAGAGGAAGAGAGAGAGAGATGGGAGATTCCTGGGTGCTGACAGACCTGTGGTATTTAGGTGGGGAGAGAGAGAGGGAAAGAGGGGAGAAAAAATAGAGAGAGAGGAAGAGGGGAGAGAGGGAGGAGGGAGGGAGGGAGGGAGGGAGAGAGAGAGGGAGAGAGAGAGTGGGAGAGAGAGAGAGAGAGATGAATATGGAAGAGAGAGAGGAAGAGGGGACAGAGATAGTGAGAGAGAGAGAGGGGGGGAGAGAGAGAGAGAGAGAGAGGGGGGGGGGGGAGAAGAGGAAGAGGGAGGTGAAGGGGAGTGAGGGGGATGAAGGGGAGTGGGAGGAAAAGAGACATTGACGGAGAGAATATGGAAGGGGTGGGATAGTAGAATTGAATATAGGTACAAATGTACATTTAATATATTTCTGAATGTGTGTAAACACATGTGTGGTTACAATCATAAGTAGACCTACTCATGACGGTTTCATCTATTAAACATTGAGCTCTTCTCTTCATTAAGAAACAGCCCAGCTCATTTGCCATCACACATACAGTTTAAAATGAACGCAATGCCTTATCTGCATTAGATAATGACTTTGTATGGCTCTTATCTCTTGGCACCTTCAGCAAACAATATGAAGTACATGTATAATCTATCCATATACAGCATGCATGATATTGGGGGAATACTCAGTATATAATATGTTTGTGTGTTTCATTTATTATCTGATTTTGACGTTACTAGAGATTGTAGCTATGAATTATAAACCATGGGAACCCAATGAAGTGTACAGATAATACATGTCACCTATAATGAATTCCAAATCCAGTATTTGGGTAAGTTAGGTTTGAGATGTATTTTCTGGTTTTGACATGACCAAATAATCATTATGAATATAAATCAGAAAGTCTGTCCTGATATTTAGAGGAGAGAGAGAGGGGGGGGGGGGAAGAGGGGAAGAGAGAGAGAGAGAGAGAGAGAGAGAGAGAGAGAGAGAAAGTGGAAGAGGGGTAAAAGAGAGAGGGGTGGAAGGAGAGAGAGAGAGAGAGAGAGAGAGATGGGGGAGGAAAAGAGACATTGACAGAGAGAATATGGGTACCCGCTTTTTAATAAGGGAAATGTAAATTTAATATATTGTTGAATGTGTGTAGACATGTGTGATTACAAATCATAAGTAAACGTGCTCATGAGGGATTCATTAAACGTTGAGATCTTCTCTTAAATTAAGAAACAACCAAACTCATTTGCCATCATGTACGTACAGCCTTATCTGAACACAATGCCTTATCTATATTAGATATTGACTTTGTATGGCTCTTTATCTTTTGGAACCTTCAGCAAACAATATGAAGTATGATATATCTATGTACAGCATACATGATATTGGGGGAATACTCGGTATATAATATGTTTGTGTGTTTCATTTTTCATCCAATGTTGACACGACTAGATATATTGTTATTATGAATTATAAACCATGGAACCCAATGACGTGTACAAATAATACATCTGTCACCTATAATTAATGTATTCTAAATCCAGTATTTGGGGAAGTTAGGTTTGAGATCAATGTGCTTCTGGTTTTGACTAAATAATAATTATGAATAGTCAATCAGAAAGTCCATCCTGATATTTACATGTAAGTGGGTTTAATAAATGCAGAAAAATATTTAAAAGCAGGTCGTTGAAATTTTGAGCAAATAATAATAATGATAATAATAGGTCCAATTATATAGCGCAGCTACTATATGAATATACTCTACTGCTCTTTAAATACAAGGCATCATATTATTACCCCTGATGTAGCTGAGCCGCCATAAACTAGGAAATCGATACGAAAGTAATGATTTCTTGAGCTCGACCATTGTAACCGATCAATCACAAATTGGCAAGGTCCTCTCTCATCTACTACTGTATGTAGAGAATATTTCATCAGTTTTCATTTTCTTAGTTCTTAATGAAGGAATAGATTTGTTTAATGCAGGAGTTGTGTAAAGACATATTTGCAATGATTATATCTAGGGTGTGTGACTGATCACAGTTTTTTTTAAATAGAGAGATAGAAATATTTGATTTTTGAGCATAGAAGAAATGGGAGGGGACCTCTCAAAATATGTTACAGAGCTATCAGGTTATGTTTGATCTGTTGCATCTTCGCCTTGGTTTTGAACCCGGGTCGCCGGATTACGAGACCATGGCATTGCTCTACCAACTGAGCTATCGCGCCTCCTTGTTTAAAGTTTAATGCATCAGTCATTTTGTGATTTACACTTTTAGAAATAAGCCAAGTGGTTTACATGTACAAGCTGTATACCAAACAGACGTGTAACTTAAATTAAATATATATATATAGAAACACTCAGAATTTGACTCCCTTATTCTCATTTTACCGACCTTTGTTGACTTTCATCTATTTCTTTCACCTAGATTTTGTGCATGCGCTCCGAGTTCCAGCGTGCCAAGACGCACTCACTGTCTGCAGCATGTCGCATCACAACCCAGAAGACTCTCTACATCATGGTAATACTTGCTACCTTCAGCAGAGGACTCTACTTTACACTATTGGTAAGTTGGGTTGAAGCAAGCAACCATTTTGGACTATATCTTACACTTTAAATAAAAGATCTCTTATGAACAATTTACTTGTTAACTGTATATGTGCATGTATGATTTTATTTTCTAACTTCACAAAAATACAATCTATCATTTGTTTGTTGTTTAATTCTTTTTGTTTTTGTTTAAAAAAGACAGTCTCTGATACTTGTCCCTCTTTCTTCAACAGAAATACATTCCTAATCACTGGGCAGCAAACATCTTGAGCATGTACTACCCGTTCCTCCTGTCCAGCTGCTCTCTATGTGTCTGCTTCTGGGCTGAGGTAAGAATGAGATCAAGACCTGGGAGGCATTTCACAAAACTTGTCATCAGTGACAAATGACAGTTTTTGTTATAATCTACTGAAATCCTTGCTTCTGATTGGTTATCAACAGATTCATCACTGATTGCGATCTAATCACTCGCAAGTTTGCAGTCTCCTATCTCTTAGTACATTGTTGCGATTGATATCAACTGGTACAAATCTTTGTCAGTCACATAGTAAGGTCTATTTCATTTTCATGGCCATTGGCCAAAGTAAGGTCAGGGCGGTATTCTGAAAATTGTTGTAAGTTTTGTCTTATCTTATTTTCTTGTATCTTCCGGACATAATAGAGAGCTAATATTGTTAGTTGGTACTCTGAAAATTAATTTAGCCCTATATTATCTGTTGAAGGACTGCCTCTATTTTATCTTTGACATGCCTATTTTTGTGGACCTACCAGTCAAGATCTATTTTATATAAGCATGATAAGTAGGTCAACCAATAGGAGTACTTAATGCCATATCTGAAGATGCATTCCGCGCATACTAATTTAAGTACACAGTTGCCATTAACTTTAAATTGCCATTAATTTGAATCAATCACAACTCTTTATAATACAGAACTTGGGTCTATCTTAACTTTAAAAAGTACAAACCTCTGTCATTTACAAAGTAGGATCTTTAAATATGTTTAAATTGCATATCATCACAGTGGTTCAAACTGCAAATACAGTCTTCATATCAGTTTTGACTCATGAATAGAAGAGGCAAAATGTAATAGCACAATGACACTTCTTTTTTAATAACCCCATCTTCAAACACGCACAGGCATTCCACATCACCAACAAGAGCTACGAACGACCAGGATCCCTGTCCAAGTCCCTGGTCTACTTCTTGATCTTCAACGTGTTCCTGTATGCTGCCCTCATTGCCCAGTTTGTCGCGTCCGAGATGGTCCCTGACCGGACCTACCTACTGAAGGTGGTCCAGGGCTTCTTTGGGAGTCTCATCTTCATCGAGGTCATCCTCTTTCTGGCCTATGGAGTGGAGGTCTATTTCAAGGTCAGTTAAAATCATCAAGACCATTTCTTGAAAATCTAAAGTAATTTTGTAACCTCTCTAAAAGGAATTCCCTGTTATTGGATTAACACCTGAATGGTGCCGAAATCCCCACGAGAGCACACTACTATGCGTCTTTAAAGGTATAGACTTGTTTTGGAAACGCCCCCCTCTCAATAAATGAAATGGAAGCTCTTATTACCAATCTTGTGAAAGAATAGGTTTCAACTAATACGTGATGATACAAATCGCCCACCAATTGATATACATGTATGTGATAAATTATCATATCGATCCGGCCTGGATAGATATCGAGAATGCACTTCAACAATGAACATTTGGGCATATATTTCTGCTTTTTTGTGAATCTAGGTTGAAGTATTGCCATCTAAACCTCTGAAGGCAGTATTTAAACAACATGGATATTTTGCACCCAAAACCCCTTAAACCGCAATTTTACCACTACGGGTCTATACAAATGCAAAAATTAAAACTAGATGATTCCTACTCACTATTTACCATGATGCATTTCATTTTGGTTTCACATCAATTTATTTAGACAATGATTTCCAGTCCCACCTCTTGGAGACACAACTGTTGGTGTTCACGTTAGGTGCACTGAGAGTTAAAACTGATTGGTTTGTAGTTCAGTAACCTCACAACAACAACAACAACAAAGCTATCTTAGGATTCTGCTGCATGTATGGCTCCTTTTACAATTACTCCCATTAAAATCTTAATTATTGTTATATTTTTAGGAAAAGAATTTCATTGAATTTATGGTTGTGAGGTTACCTGCATGCTCTGTAGGTCTATCGTTGGCTTAATTGATATGAAACCAAAACTGCCATGCATCTTGATGAATGTGAGTAATAATCGTCTATTTTTAGTTTTTGTATTTTTACTAAAGACGTATGTGGGGGAATTTAACACCGTTCGGGTGTTTATCCAATAACAGGTGTTGTCAAACACCAGGATTAGCCTTCAATTTTATGACCAACAGGCTCTCATTTTTAGTTTAGTTTTTTTTATTTCACATAAAAAACAATACATTAATAAAAAATAGCATATTAACAAAATTTACACATGAACAATAAATGACCAGGATTAGCTTTAGTTTTATGACCAACAGGCTCTCATTTTTAGTTTAGTTTCTTTTATTTCTCATGAAAAAAATAATACATTAATAAATCATAGCATATTAACCAAATTTACACATGAACAATAAATGACCAGGATTAGTTTCAGTTTTATGACCAAGAGGCTCTCAGTTTTAGTTTAGTTTCTTTTAGTTTCACATGAAAAGCAATACATTAACAAAACATGGCATATTAACAAAATTTATATCATGGACAATAAAGACATTTACACAGCATATTGATAGGGATGATGGATGTAAGAAAAGAGAGAAATATGAAGAGAAGGTAAAGAATGGGAGTCAGAAGAAGAATGAGAAGATAGAAGAGAAAGATTTAGAATGGAATGTTCAAGGTCGGGAGTCGCAGTCAGGAATAAATAATTATGTAGTGCATTACACGTACAAATTCAATAATAACAATTTTATATATGTAATGCTCTCCATTTTCCATCAATAACCCTATATGGAAAAGGCGTTGTCTTACATTTATTCATTGAAGACTCTGAGAGACTAGGGGTATATCTTGATGTGACCACAGGTGTGCTATGTACACCCATTAACGATGTTTCCACCAAGTCTGGTGTCAGCAAATTATGACCTACTGCACATGGAAACTGAAGACCATCTCCCTGAAAGACCATTAATACTACTGGGCCACAAGGGATTAGACCACCCAGCTAGGTCACTGACAGGTGGCTATCTCATCAACTCAGCTCTCAACTAACATAGGAAAAAGAGGATCATGGGGGACCAACAGGCACTGATTGGGAAAGTTTTCTATATAGAGGGAGCAAGTAGCTACAAGTAGGACAGTGGGGCTTTAAACTCCTTCAGTACCACCCGAAACACCGCCCCCTATGAAAAAAAACTCCTCATTAGGAAATGTTTTAATTGTCCTTGAGTCCGTAGTTGTGCTAGAATCAGATTTTAACCCTTTGGTTGCATTCTTCGCCTCTCTTTACAGTTGCTTGTGTGCCACGTGTGCAGTATTGCACAAAAACACTAGGCACCAGTTCTGAAGGGTTGCTTCGTGCAACACAATGGCTGTGCAAATTTACCCATTTTAGGCCTTGATGAGCTCCATGACAGCCTTTTTAACACTGATATAGATTAATCTTGCAATTGGAAACAGTTAAAGCCTATCTGTACTAGTTTGGCCTGGAGGGATTAGACCTCTCTACATGGTCACTGACAGGTGGTTATCTCATCAAAGCAGCTCTCAATTAAAATAAGAAAAAGGGGACCATTGGGGACCAACGGTCACTGCTTAGGCATTGTTTGCTATATAGGGCGCCGGTAGCTATAAGTTGTGCAGTGGGGCTTTAAATGATCTTGAAGCCTTCTGTATATTTATCCCTTCATAAATACAATGTGGCACAGGGAAATTTATCTGTGCGGCAGGTAAAGAGTTAATAACTGTATTGTATTGTTTTCAATAGGTAAAGGGAGCCTTTGCGAATGCCAGCTCCTCCTTTGACCCCCGAACCTTGCATCTCTCCCGCTTTGGCCTCCTCTTTCAAGGAACACTCCAGATCATCACGGCATTCTTCCTCATGATGAGTGTCACCGAAGCCAAGTGGAATGAGAGGTAAGTCAATAGTGTGAACCCTACCCTTAATAAACAGTTTCTTTCACACCATAAGCATCTTTTCCATAAGTTGATAAATCTACTCTGTATTTTTTAGTTCATGTTCATATAAACCCCTAAAAAAAAAGTTTGTAAACTCAAGTTTGATCAAGTATATCTCTCTTGATATAAGATAATGATCAATATATTTAGTTTTATTAGAAATCATATTTATTCCTCTTTAAAATGATACCATACTTATGATTTTCCATCATGGAATGAGCAGTATAGAATAAGGAGTTTTTGAGGAGTTTATATTAATGTAAATCTGTGAAATGGGAAATGGGGCTATTGTGTGAACTCTACCACTTATCTATCCTGCGGAATGTGTTCACACATTTAGTATCTGCTAGTCTGCTACATAAGTTTAAGTCATTGCAACAATTGCAATGTGTTCACATCTCTCCAGTTCTTCTTTTTAATTGTCTATATGATCATGAGTAAATATAGAAACAGTTATGGACTTGTTAAGATATGCCAATGTCGCAAATGTGAAAATATGAAAGCGAAACCTCTCTTCTCATATTACATTACAAGTAGCAATAGAAATAAGGTAGGGATCATACAAGCCTTTGAGCAATTAATACAGTATTACATTTTTTAAGTATGCAGTGTCAATGTCAATGTCGCAAATGTGAAAATATGAAAGCGAAACCTCTCTTCTTTTATTACATTGCCCACACAAGTAGCAATAGAAATAAGGTAGGGATCATACAGACCTTTGAGCTATTAATACAGAATTACATTTTTTAAGTATGCAGTGTCAATGTCAATGTCGCAAATGTGAAAATATGAAAGCGAAACCTCTCTTCATATATTGCATTGCCTACCCAAGTAATAATAGAAATAAGGTAAGGATCATACAAAACCTTTGGGCAATTAATACAGTATTACGTTTATTTTTAGTATAAAGTGCTAGTGTTCATGTATAGACACTGCCTAGAAAGACTCTAGTTAAATCTGTGGCCTCTAAACGACCCAGTAGCATTTTCTAATGAGCGCTGGAATGCTTAAATTATGTGCAAACTGAAATGCTTTTTTCATGAGGTCTTTGAAGCAAATTAATTTTTGTGTCTAAGTGTATGTTCGAGTGACACTTTTTCACCCTAGAAACGCGGCTTTCAAAGACGTTTAGTTTAAAACACGGTTGTGTTCAAGCGATTTTTCGTTGGTCGTAAAAATAAACGTGTTTCAAAAAGCATACATGATACGCTGAAAAAGATGCGTTTTGTTACATGATTCTGCAGAATCAAGCTCTCTAAATATCGCTTAAACAAAACAGAGATCTCAATTATGCTGTGGCGTCATTATCGTGGCCTGCTTACAGTTTTGTTGACATTCGACCGTAAACAAATTCTGAAAGCGCGCGCCGATGTTGACCTATACTTCCTTGGCCAAACTGCGCAGTGTGATGCGCAGTGGCTGGGCTTGAAATGAGCGACAATCAGCGTTGATGGAAAATTGCTTGAACGATCTCTTGTAGTAACCGTGTTCTGATTTGTGATTCATGTTTGTGATTCTAGCTTCAAAAGGTTGCTTGAACGCACTCCCACTTTCTACAAACACTGCATTCTTTATATTTCTGTCTCCTCTATGCAGCATCCCTCTCCTGCAGCGGAACTCATACGTGATCGTCTTTCGTATCGTTGAGCTAGCCATGGTGATGTGGTTCCCTTGTGTCCTCTGGAATTGTAGAAGGTGAGTGCTGGTGGTCATTTTGACTTAAAGCGGGACCTGCACTACTTGTAGCTACTTGCGCCCTCTATATAGCGAACTCGAAAGGGGGGAATGTTGTTGGATGCCATCTTTTCCCCGCGAATCCTCTTTTCTTTATTTTACTCAAGGGGGGGCGTGGTTGAGGGGAAAACAAAAAACCTATTTATGTTTTAGTGCTCACTATCACCCCTGTAGATGAGATAACGACCTGTCAGTGACCATGCAGGGAGGTCTTATCCCTCCTGCTCCAGGCCAAACTAGTGCAGATAGGCTTTAAATACAGTTTCATTTAACATGCGCATGCAATCTTTTTCCTTGGTGATGAGAGTATGTAGTATACCCATGATGTTCGTTTTCAGAGAAATTTGAAATTTAGAACATTAACAAGATGTATATTCTGGCCAGAATATCTGTGCAATATTGAGCATTGCCTCTTGAATGCAATCAATACATAGTCAATACTTACTTTATCTCCCAGATAGTCCACCTAAAAAGAGCCCACCCAAATCTTATGCTAGGTTATTAAACACCTTTATAGAGGAAAGGGGCTTTGAAGTTCCAAACAAAAGACTGCTCTGTGTAATCTGTCTTTGATTACCAGTAGGCCAAAATATAACAATTGAGGAACACACACTTCTTTGCAACAGCTGTGATAGAGTAAGATTGATCATCAATGTGGCCCACATCTTTCTCTTACCGTTTCTTTAAACCCTATCTGCACTAGTTTGGCCAGGAGGGATTAGACCTCCCTGCATGGTCACTGACAGGTGGTTATCTCATCAAATCAGCTCTCAATTAACATAAGAAGAAGGGGATCAAGGGGGACCAATGGCATTGTTTGCTATATAGAGGGTGCAATAGATACAAGTAGTGCAGACAGGTTTTAAAGAAGGAGGATGAATAAAGGTACAATAGAGTGATTAAACAGTGAGACCCCTGTACATTGAACCATCCTTTTATGTGGTTCTGATGTCAATGCGTGCCAGTTGAAAGAGAAGTCATGTTGAATAGACCAGTTTACTAATACACTCCAATTTCATGCATATACTTAAAAAAAAAAGGGTTATTCTTGACAACCTGAAAGATTTTCCAGAGGTTTGCCTGACATAGCAACAAGTAATGTATGCACACTGGATTCCAAGTATTGCAGTTCATTCGTTATTGAAAGGTTAATCTTATAGCTCGTCAGGATCGAGAGGTCCCCATGAATGTTAATATGTTAGTAAACCAGTCGATTGTCAGAAACAAAATATTCTCAGGAAAGCTATGGCTGGAAGAAAAAATATCTTAGGAAATTATACCTGAAAAAATTAATAGAAATTAATAGAAAAGAAAAAATCACCTGAGCAAAAGTAGTTTTAATCCAGTAGGTTACAGGAGTTTATTTTGAAATTCAATTTATTCCTGCAGTCCTGAAAAGCTGTGGATTTTGAACCCAAAGAGAATCCTGAGAGAAAACACGGATGAAGAACAAGTCACAGTAAGTACATACAGTCAAACCTGCTTTAGTGACCACCTGTCTACAAAGACCACCTGGCGACAACAAGCACATTTCTTGTTTCCCTTGAAAATGGTTTCTCATTGAAACATGTACTAAAGGAACCTTAGGAACAACTCATAGTATGTATCATCTGTTTGGAACCAGAAAGGCATTAACTCAACAGTTTAACACAGATTTAACGCCCTTCTGGCTCTGAACAGGCAATGTTGACAGTCTATTTGACATGTACATGTATAAATTGGCAATCATTATTTAAATTTGTGTCATTATATTTTGATTTTGTTTTAAAGACTAACAATTTCTTAGTCCATTTACTGCAAAGTATATTTGAAATAAACCTCATATTGAATTGAATTCAAGTGAATCAAATTTGGTCTAACCATTTAAGGGCTAAAATCCAAATCTATAGGTTTACTCAAATCTTAGATGTGGTCCATAATGCTTTGGACAAAAAAGCTTTGGCTTGCCAGAATTTCTGCAGATAAAGGTGTTGTAGAGGTGTTGTAGGTGTCGCCGGACTGCAGATCACATTACCGGTGTCACATCCCAGCTCGCCACTAACGTCCTTTGGCAAGATGTGAATCTACATTTGCCACTCTCCACCCAAGTGCTAAATGAGTACCTGGTAGGATGCGAACCTTAATTTAATATGCTTTGCCGATTGTGAGCGTCTGAAAAATGGCCCCTGGTTGGAATACTCCCCAGGGAGTGGAGAATGTGCACACGTGGTGTGCGGGCAAGCTTGAACCTGATGACTGGGGTAATAATACATTTGTGAAGCCCTTAGAGACATGGTCGATGTACTGTACTGGGGGGGGGGGGCCTGGGAGGCCCTCCCCTCGATATTTTCAGAGATTGCGCCGCAACCGCTTGGAATTTTGAATTGTTGTTTCCTTATTTTTTTCCCTCGAGTCTTACGCACATTTTGATACCATTTCCGTTGAAATCGGATATACCTGTAAGGTGTTACATGACAATTAGTATGCGCATGTCATCAAAATATGCTACATGTATAATTGCATATATTCATGTACAAGCAGAAATGTGAATACAGGTTTAGATGTATGAATTGATATCAAATTGCTTTTATATGTTTCTCAAAGTAACTTGGTGTATTCCAGAACAAAAGAATACATTAGAAATAAAACAATAGATATAATAAGAAATAAAAACAATAAAATACAAAAGAAAATAAATATTTGAAAATCACATAAAATTTGCATAAATTATCATTATTAATTACATCAGAATAACTATTTTGTGTTCGAAAAGAAGTTTCATATGAATAATGGGTTTCAATTAATATTCAAAAAGTGGAGTCGTGACAATTTTTGTAATTATTCTAGTTCCCTGTATATTTCTAGATTTGATATTCATGAATGCATATTCATAATTTATGCAAATTAACCTATGCATTTTCAAATATCATAAAAATAATGTAACCTCATGAATTAGAGATGAAGGAAATATTTATTCAATACATTTTCAACATTCTTCACAAGTCTACAGACATTCTGTGAAATGCATAAATTTTGCATAATTAATTAGGCTTTAACAACAACAATTTGCATATTAGGAAAAAACCCAATTACACCTTCTTGTTCCTTATGTAAATATCTCCAAACATACAAATTTTCGCGTTCATCAGACTTTCAACGGTCGAGATCATAGGGTCATGAGGTGCTCAAAATAGCCCAGTACAGTAAGGGTTAAGCACTAAATAAACATGGAATATAATCATGTGAATAGTAAAACAGAAATAGCAGGACATGACAGTCTCTTCAGAAGATAAAATGCACAAAGGCTAATTCAGATTTGGCGGAGTAAACCGACCTTTCATTTTTTTAATAAATAAAACACCTCAATTTAAAAAAAAATGTGTAAATGAATGTCAACTGCACACATTCAAAGTCCTGCATGTCCTGTATTCTAGCTCCGTGTTATAAGATATAGAAATGCGAAGCATATTACACTTGACATCATAAAAATACCGCAATGGTTTTGTATCGTCATATCTGAAGGAGGCTTAATTAATTAATGACTTTCAGCAGTGATTAATCTCAAATGCACAAAGTGGGACTTCTCCATGTTTAAGATATCTGTGGTTATTTCGAGTCATTTGCGCATCTGTGCTATCTTCAAACTGTCATATAGGTTTCTAAGAAGTTTCTGTGAACACTTCAAGTACTTGAAAAAATATCATCATCATGTATACTTCCTTAATTAATGACCAATTATATGTTACTCTTTGTTTCATCAGCCACCTACTCAGCCGATCCAGACAGAGCGACGTGAGGAAACAAACCTTTTGAGCTGCAGGAGGAAGCAAGAGCCATCGACAAGCACAAGCTCTAATTACCAGAGTACAGAAACCCGTAGCAGAAGTGGCACTGGTAAGTAATTAATTTCATGTGTGACTTGTCGGCTTTAAGACGACAGATAATTTGCTTGAATTCTTATTCTGTTTTGGTTGCATTGTGCATTTTCTGAAACAAGAGAGTCAAAATTGTCAATGATACATGTATATTAAACTCAAAGTTGACTCCAGGAGAACCTACTTAAATATCATATTCATTTAAAGAGCAACCATTGTAAGAATTTCATTTGTATGAAAGCAGAAAAATAAGATCAACAGAACAATTATAAGAAAGTTATGACTGTTTGAAATCATAAAATTGTGCCCAATATTTAATAATAATAATAATAATAATAGTTGCTACTTGTATATCGCACAGGTCCACCTTTTGGTGCTCATGGCGCTTTATTAATGTTCTGTTCATGATTAAATAATACAAATTATACCTGAATATATTGTACAATTTGTCTTTTCATCTCTGTACCAACTTCTCTCTCCCTCATCTACCCTCCTCCCTCCTGCTCTCTGTCTATCTTTCTTTCTCTCTTGCTCTCTCTGTCACTCCTTCTCTCTTTCTCTTTCCATCCCTCTCTCTCTATCTCCATCTCTCTCTTTCTCTCTCCACCCCCTCCTCTCTCTCTCTCTCTCTCTCTCTCGCTCTCCCTCCCTCTCTCTCTCTCCCTGTCCCTCAACCTCTATCCCTCTCTCCATCTCTCTATCTCTCTCTTTCTCCATCTCCCACTTTCTCTCTCTCTCTCACCCCACTCACTCCATCTCTCTCTCTCTCTCTCTCAGACCCGGAGTGTTGGATCTGCTACGACCGAGACAACCCTGATCTTGGCCCCCTCATCACACCCTGCACCTGTAAAGGAGATGTAGCGTTTGTCCATCATGAATGTCTCAGAAGATGGATGCTAGAAGTAAGGAAATACAGTCAGGGAATTTCCTTTATTAATTCTCCAAATAATAATAACAATAATAATATTTCGCTTTTATATAGCGCTTTGCGGCTTAATACAATAACGATGTTTCTTAGCGCTTTACAGATATACTAATACCCCGGTCATTGGATTCAATCCTACCGGGTACCCATTTAACACCTGGGTGGAGAGTAGCAAGTGCACGTTGATATCTTGCCAAAAGATATAAGTGCAGTGTCAGGATTCAAACCCTTGACCATATATCACATCTCCAGTTAAGCGCCTTAAACCACTTAGCCACGACACTCCTATCTGATATTCTTTAAGTTACCCTCCATTGATTACTCTGAAATTAGTCTGTCAAAAGCCCAGTTAGTATTCTGTTTTGGGTTTTTTCCATCAGCAAAAAATGTTCTGCAAAAAATGATATGCATTCTTTCAAAGTGTGCTAGCTATTACCACACTATTGGAGTTTTGCTAGTAATCATAATGTCAACTTTCAGGGTGCAAGTATTTTGAAAAACTAGTAAATTGAATATAGTCAACAGCAGCAGTCATATCTCCATTAAATGAAGTGAATCTGGGGGTGTTTCATAAAGCTGTGCTTAAAGTTACGCAAGACTTTACGAATGACTCGAATATGAAGAGCTCAAATCCATTTGATTGCATAAACTAAAGTTGAAATATGCAGATGTAGATAACCTTATCATTATTAACAAAACATTTTAATGCAAAGTGTATTTTTGGCTACAATTTAATTGAGATTATGGGAAATACAGTCACACTTTGTTATGTCAGGAACAAATTTGGGCATCCCATTTGGTTCTTCATATTCAAATCATTTGTAAAGTCATTTGTAACTTTACGCACAGCTTTATGAAACACCCCAGTGGACCCTGTTAATTGAAATATTTTTAAATTTTCATTACAGCTTGATGACAGCCCAGAACTCATCAAATGTAAAGTCTGCAAGAATACTGTAAGTGTGTTTCTCTGATTCTCTGTTTACATGTTTTCCTTAATCAGTATCAATATCTTGATACAATCATGCAATCTTTGCAAGCACCCACAACTTGTATATCAGATTTCATTGACGATTGGAGCAGAACAATTGGGTTTGTTCAATCAATAATTCTCTATATACATGTAGGTCCGCCTGTCCTGTTAGTGATCACCATTGTTCTCTCTCTCTTTCTCTCTCTCTCTCTCTCTCTCTCTCTCTCCATCTCTCTCTCCATCTCGCTCTCTCTCTTTCTTTCCCTCTCTCTCTCTTTCTCTCCCTCTCTCTCGCTTTCTGATTATAAATATTTGCTGTAAAACCTTCTACAGTTTACTTTTAAAATACATTTAACAGTATGGCATGTACCTAATTTTGATATTTTTTACATTGTGGGTATATGGTGGTTCATTCACTTGACTCTCCATCTAAAGGTCGAGGATTCAAATCTCTGCCCCTTGTGTTTGTCCTTAGACAAAGCATGTTTTTTACGTGTACATTTACCCGGTAGTATCTCTCACTACCAAGTGTTAAATGGGTCACCTAGCTTGTCAGGATTTATTCCTTGCACTAGGGACATTCTATAACGATGTGATTCGGGCTACCGTATTTACCGGCGTAAAGGCCGCAGTATTTTTGGAAGAGAAAATATCAAAAAGTCGGGGTGCGGTGTTTGCGGCGAAAGAGTAAAAAAGAAAAAAAAAGAAAGTAAAAACCAGCACGAATTTGCACATATGGGACTACGAACGGTACAATAACTATACCACTATGGAACAGGACATTTTCACACATCTTACCGACAATTTTATCTTGCATTGTTGACATGAAGTCGAAAATAAACTTTCTAAAACAACATTTGCCGATAGATCTTGATCTAAGTTTGTACCAATGCATTGCAAAAGTAAAGGAAGGGACCGTTTAACGGAGCTGCCGCGAAGCATCCATCCGAAGTCGCCATTTTGTTTTCCATTTCATGCAATTTTGCATTACACCGTACAATGTGGTAGGGGTATATCGGACACCAAATCTGACTGTGATCACTTTTTTAGCTATACTTCCGGTAAATTATAAGAATATTGATGAATTTGGTATCAGTTTGTAAAAAAAAAATAGTGTTTTCCGAGAAAAATTATGATTATTTTGTTTTGTCCATTTGTTTTTTTTCCTTTTTTTTTTTCCCCTCTTTGAAATGTCAAAGTTAGGGTGCGGCCTATGCGGCGCTGCAGCCTTATCGCCGGCAAATACGGTATTCAAAAGTGGTTTGGGCTATAAAAGTGGTTACAGTCAAACCTGCTTTAGTGACCACCTGTCTACAACAAGCACATATTTTGTTTCCCTTGAAAATGGTTTCTCATTGAAACATGTACTAAAGGAACCTGTCTACAAAGACCACTTTTTTTCCTTGGGTGGTCACTGTAGACAGGTTTGCCTGTACTTCTATTATTTTCTATAATTGACCTTTTCTTCTTTTTTCCCAAACATTCACTCTGAACAGTACGACCTGAAGCAGGGCAAAGTTCATCTGTACCAGGGCCTGAGCTCCAGGGACGCGACCTTCTGCTTCCTGGCCTTCTTTGCCATGGGAGGGGGACCAGGAGCAGTCTACGCCGTGCTCCAGGCGTACCCCTCCAGCACCATCAACATCGTCACCATAGGCCTGTGCGTGCTCCTCGAGATGACATGTCTCAGGTGAGTCATCCTTATAGCGAGTTGGAGCTCTTTTTTGCATCAAATTGGCAACTTAACACAAACTTTGTTTGTTTTATTCTTTTAACAAACTATCATGCATCCAAACGATAAATTGTTGGCTCATGGAGATAAGCCTTATTACCATCTTTCTTCAAATTAGCAACTTAGAAGAAAGTTTGTTTGTTTGTTAAATTCTGCCTTCAAAATATGCATATAAACAGTAATAAATCAGAATACAGATGAAGTTGAATGTAACAATTTAATGCCAATTTGAAGATAAGAACGCATATAGTCTGTATTGCAAATTCTTTTTTTGAAGATGATTCTAAGTTGTCCAGTCATTTAATCTATGTAGTTATTCATAGGTAATTTGTATAAGACCACAATACCTAGCAACTCATTGCTTATGAGTTGTACTAATATGGAAAGTTATTGCAAATGTTTGTATCATGAGTAAATATATTCTAAAACTTTGAAAAATAGTGCATTAAAGGTGAAATTTGCTCATGGTTAATGCATATAACCTTTTTAGAAGGCATCTTTTTGTTCTAAAATGGTGTTCTATAAAAATTGATAAAAATGAGCTGTTCTTAAACTTGAACTCGAAGAATTACTATGCTCCCTCCCCATTTGTTTTTTAGATATCTCGGATACACCATTGCAAATGCCTACAAGAGAGCCAAGATATTCTCCTTGAAAATCATGGGGAAGACGTCTACATCCATCATCATGGAGGAAAACGAGGCGTCGACTTCAGGTGAGCTCGAACAGTCGAGCGAGTGCAAGACCCATGCTGAAGCTAGCAGCTCAAAATGTGGAGATCCTATGTATGGTGGTGACGAAGGGACAACAAGTGATGTGTCGGTTGTGGAAGCAGAAATTTTTGAAGCGAGTCGGACATTGGAGCAATGTGAAGTTCATGAAATATATGACCCGGTCGAGGCAGAGGTCGTGCCACCCCTGCAAGCTGAACGTAGAATGGATGTCAAAATCTGATATTTTGGTTGGAAGGGACAATTTTGCCATTTATTTGTGAGCCATTTCTATTTGCCATTCTTTTGTTCTGTTTTCATAGGTAAAGCAACTCATGTATTTTGTGACTTGTATAGTATTGAAGGGCACCAAGTGCAAAGTGTAATTATTTAATGTTGTGTTGATTGTATTATTATGTTGTTATTACTATGTATTTCTGTTAAAACTTAATGTTCTACTGCTAGGCTTGTCAGCTCGTACTGCACAAGAATGTGTTAATGTCAGATATCAATTCTTGTAGTTTGCATTTTTCAGACATTGAGGAGAAAGGTGTTTTATGATACGTTGCGAGGTCAGAGCTGCCAACCATTACGTTTTTCACGGAATGATTCTGTCTTTTTCTCCAAATTACGATAGTACGTTTTTTCTTTATAAAATCTTCTTTTTTTTCTTCTTCTTTAAAAAAAAATAATTTGTACATACCTCACGTCAAACAACTGCCCTAAAATGTTGATTTGATCACAAATTCAATAGAAAACTTATGTTAAAACATACTTGGAAGAGAAAAATACTGTTATAAATAACCATAGGTCCTAATAAATATGGTAAAGAACAGCATGAGGAATGGACATTTCTGCATTGGAAGTGTGTCCCGCGTGGTTGTATTAAAGTTTTGTTTCAATGAATTCCTTTTTTTAGCCATCATGGTTACTTGTTTGGTCGCACAAGGTTGGCAGCTCTGCTTACCGGTAGTAGATAGGAATTCTTTGTTTCAAGTTTTTCAAAAAATAAAAGAATATATATATCTTCGTGGGGCAAAGATAAGTAGTCATGAAGAGTTGATGAAGCAATAATGTTCTGTGTTTACAATGCAAATGTAGAATATAGCTATGATTATGTAATAATCAAGCCAAAATGAACATTAAGTTAACTTGCAATGATTCAACCACCGTTATTTTACATCTCAGTAGATTGTAGATAGTAAATGTCATATCAAGTTTGCATTATTTCTATATTACTAACATTAGAACATGTATCTCACATTAATGACATATAGGAAATTCAAAGTCGCACCTTGCATTGTGGATAAAGACAATGACTACAATAACTGTATTTGGCACACATGTATTCCACTTATATATATTGAACAGTTTTTTAGTTTGCTGAGGCAGTATTTATACTGTTTCTTTACCAACTATGTCTATATTGAAGTACGGTAAGTAAATTAAAAAAATTTATCATTCTAGACTTGTTATATTCCTGTAAATTCCAGTAGAACAATAGCAATTTAAAATATATAGTATGATTTTACAACCTTTAAACAAGTGACTTCATGAACAGCAGATGGAAATTAGTTTACCTATGTAAGATCAGTTCATACATTTTTGTTTTCAACAAACAAAGACAGATCATTAATTTTTCTTTCCCCAGCATGGGGAATGTGTTGTCCAAAAGTTCAAAGGTAAGAAGAAAATAATAATAATAATAATAAAAACGGTGCATATAAAGTGCTTACAACTGAAGTCTCTAAGCGCTATAACAAACAAAATACGATGATAAACAATTACAAATTAAACAAAACAAACAAATTCAAATAAACCTACAAATTACAATACATATGAAATATAATCAATGTGAACAGAGTAAGTTAATCATCAAGCAATTTGAAAATGAAAGTTCTTGATGGCCTAGGGACTATTGTTGGTTTTGCCAGTACATAGATCTTACATTTGTTAAAAGGTCTGATTAATGATGCATAATTGTGAAAGCTATTTTGAGAGCTCTCTGACCCACTGAAGATATTATTTGTCGTACTTCTTTGCAGGATGGGACTGATAGGGATGTAAATCTTTAAAAAAGGTTATTGTTGTTTGCAAAGACAAAATATGTGTTCTTCAGTTCCTGAGAGAGCAAGAAACTACTGAAGAGAGGGAGAGAAGAAAGAGAGAGGGAGAGAGAGGGGAGAGAGATTAAAGGTAAAGACCAGTATTGGAAACGCCCCAATTTCAAAAAATGAAATGGAAGCTTTCATTACCAATCATGTGAAAGAATATGTTTTGACTAATACATGATGATAAAAAATTTGCCGGAAAACCGCCTACTAATCCATATATTTGGTAAATTTGTTTCTCTCATGGTCTGTGAGAGATATAGGGTAGTCCCACATATATCTTTCTGTGTATTTTTTTTCTATTTATCCTCTTTCGAGGGACTTTATTTGTTCATATAATAAAATAACAGCTATTTACAACAGTGTTTAAATACAAAATTCATGCAATTGTAACATATCATACATAGTACAGAACATGAAACTAATGTGACATAATCACTAACTAAAATAATGAAAACATTTTTGTAACTTTTGTAACTTCGTTTGTATCGAATTTCTTTTGATTACATTTCATATTGAGATAGGTGCGAATTTCCACCTTTAATTCTTTTATCAAATATACAGCATGTTTCCTGTGCTTTTCACTTCCAAAACATTCTCTAATATAGTTCCTATAGATAATAAACTGAGCGAAGTTTAAAATAAGATTGACAAGATTCATTTCTCTTCTCTCTATTTCATAACCTATTAAAAGAATTTCTTCGTTCAAAAGGATTTTAAAATTAAACAAAGTATCAATTAATTTGGATACAATCTTCCAAAAAAGCGAAACCTTCTTGCAAGCCAGGAGAAGGAGGTTAGTTGTGTCTGGAATCTTACATATATCACATAGATTATTATTTTTAATCTTCCATTTACATAAATTGTCTTTACTGGGCAATATTCTATGAAGATATTTAAAATTAAACTGCTTAATTCTGTTGTCATTTATAAAGTAAAATTTATAATGGAGCAACGTTTTCCAGTTAAACTCATTGGGTAAATCAAAATAAGCGTTCCAAAAATAAATGCACGGCAGATTCTGTCTATTTTTTACTAACATCAAATTATAATAGTGTTTGGCTTTCATGACCGCTACATCAATGGAGTCACCTGTTACTATTTCTATTGTACTGGATTCCACTGCAGACGGTGGACTATTTACATATTGTAACCTATTACGTAATTTCTGCAACCAAAAATTCGGGAATGCACTTTTTAACTTTGCCAATTTGAAGGCGGAAAGTAATTCATTTTCTTGAAAATTAATACAAATAGAATCAACTTCTTTCCAGATACCGTTAACTAAGACTTGTTTCACTTTAAAAATATTGTTTCTCATCCAGTTTGGAAAATACAATAACTCATTCATAGCTTTAATATTGCTATTATACCAAATCATTTCATTTTCAATATCTGTTACTTTAAACATATCAATATATTTTAATTCAGCCCAAGAACAAAACATGTCAACATAAAAGTTAGGCAACTGTTTTTTTCTACAAATACGATACATATCGCTCTTTTTGCAATTAAAATGCAAACAAAGTGGCAAATCCCCAATTTTCTTGATCCAATATTTAAACAAAATTTTCCAAGCACTTTGTTCATCTCTTAAATATTTATGAATCCATGAAAGACGGAGTGACCGGCATTTTGACTCTAAGTCGATCATTCCCAACCCCCCTTCTACTTCAGGATTGTGACAGATGTTTCGTTTCACCTTTTCTGTTTTTGAATTCCATAAAAATGTGTAAGCCAGTTTATTTATACGTTTAATTATTTTAGAAGGGATCGGAACTGCCGTGGCAGTATGTACTATCTGAGACATAACTAAATGTTTAATCACAACAACTTTTCCGTACAATGTAAGTTTTCTCATTTTCCATAAATCCAAGGTATTCTTTATTTTCTCTACTTTACTTTCCCAGTTTAAATTTTGAACGTCAAAAGAATTTTTACCTACATAAATACCAAGACATTTTATAGGGTCTTCAGTGAAATGTAAATCTTCAACTTCATCGTCATTTATATTAAGTTTCATAAGATTTGATTTGGTCCAGTTAATTTTTGGTCCCGCATGCGCTCCAAACAGTTCTACTTCTTTCATTATTTCTTTAACAAATTTTACAGATCTAGTAATAATCGTCGTATCGTCTGCATATTGAACGATACGTATATCTTTAAAATCAGCTTGATCTTCATTGAAGTCTGGGACTTGGATTCCCTCTATTTTGGCGTTTTGTTTAATTCTTTTCCCTAAAACCTCTGCAATTATTATAAATAAAAGTGGAGAAAGTGGGCAACCTTGCCTAACGCCTCTTTCTATTGCAAATTTGTCGGATATCCAACCAAAATTTAAGACACGACCATGAGCACCATTATATAACGTTTCAATCCATCTTAAAAACGAATCTTTAAATTTAAGTTCCCGTAACAAGGACAATAAAAAAACATGACCAATGGTATCGAACGCCTTTTTAAAATCCAAGAACATCATAACAACTGGTTTGTTTGCAAAAAGACAATAATCAATAGTATCCTGAATTAGTCTGGTACATTCAGATGCAGAGCGGTTTTTTAAAAAACCAGCCTGGTCCTGTGATACAAGTTTATATATAACTTTCTGTAATCGTATTGAAAGAATGCGAGCTGCAAGTTTATAATCAATGTTTAACAGCGAAATAGGTCGCCAATTATCTAAAACATTTTTGTTACCTTTCTTATATAATAGAGTAAGGATAGCTTGACTTTGTGTGCACGACAATTGTTGTTTGTCGTAACCCTCATTCAGACTGTCAATTACCATATGTTTGATATCCCCCCAGAAGCATTTATAAAATTCAACACTGAGTCCATCGCTTCCAGGTGATTTGTTCATCTTCATTGACTTCAGTGCTTCCCAGCATTCATTCTCTGTGATTTTTCCCTCACATAAATTTGCATCTTCTTCATTCAAAACATTAAAGTTGATATCAGATACGTATTCTTTAAATCCAGCCTCGGTATTATTTCCCTTATAGAGTTTACAATAAAATTCTCGTATACCTGTCAAAATTTTCTGTTCATCTTTGATAATTTTTCCGTTACTTTCAAGACAATCTATTTCTTTTTTTTTTCCTTTAGCTTTTTCAAGCTGAAGAAAATATCTTGTTGACTTTTCACCAAATTCAAGCCACCTTGCCCGAGATCTCACAAATGCACCTTTGCACTGATATTCATACCACTTGTCTATCTTTTGTCTCAAACACTTCATTCTATCTATATCATATGCACATGAACCCTCATCTATTTTCTTACACAAGTTATCATATTCACTTTCCATATTAGCAATATATTTCTTTTTTCTTGTATTAACATCAACTGTATATTTTGTACTAAATTCTTTAATTTTAATTTTACACATTTCCCACCTTAGCTGTTTATCAAATTGACTAAATTCAATATTAACCTTACGAATAATACGTTTAACATTTTGTTTAAACACTTCATCCTTCAGGATAGAATTATTCAGTTTCCAGCAACCCTTTCCTCTACTTTGTGCTAATATTTTAAGTTTCATGGATACCCCGTTATGATCGCATTTCAACACTGGTTTTATGTCGATTGAATAAATATATGAAAAATGCTCTTTCGACATGAGCCAATAATCTAGTCTTGAGTAAATGTTTAGTGACAGCTGCCTCCACGTAAACTGTTTCCTCTCTGGAAACATTTTTCTCCACACATCTACTAAGTTATTATTTTTCCGAAATTTAACAAAATTTTGTTTTGGTAAATATGCATATGAGACTCCACTTGTGTCTAGTTTTTTGTTTTGTACACAATTCCAGTCTCCTGCGATCATAACGTCGTTTAGTTTTCTAATCTTTTTCACCCATATACATAAAGATGAATAGAAATGTTCTTTCAGTGTGTTTTTTGCTGGAGCATACACATTTATACATAAATACATTCGATCTTGATACGAAAATCTCAGTGCAATAGCCCTACCATCACCTTTGAAATGTTTGTCGATGACCGTAATAGGGAGACTTTCCTTGACTAAAATTGCTACACCTTTGGAATGGTTTGTACCATGATCGAACAAACAAAATCCTTTCCATTCTTTAGATACTATATTTTCTATGTTTCTTGACAAAAAGGTCTCTTGCAAAAATGCTATGTCGCACTTTTGGCGATGGAGCCAAAGGAATATTTTCTTTCGCTTCATCATATCTTTCTGTGTATAGTGCCTGTAACTTTACGAAGAATGGGCCAAATTTCTTATCATTTTGATGATTCCAGAACCTTGCAGATGCTAGATGCTAGATGATCAACCTTTTCTGATCGATTCCACAACGTTTCTTTCACAATGCAATCGCATGA